GCGGTGTTTGTGGTTAAACTCCTCCGAAACGGCTCGACCGATTTTCGTGAAATTTTATATGCATATTCAGTAGGTCTGAGAATCGGATGTAATCTATTTTTCATCCCCCTAAATGTTAAGGGTAATCCAAACCTAATTTTTTTTTATTCAATTTTAGATAAAAACAAATATGATACAGCATTAGTAAATACATATAACCCTGAATTTTCAACCCTTTACAATCAACCCCTATTTTACCATCGCGATTTTTATTTTTAATAATTTCTTTTTTTTTCTCAATTCAATTTGATCTTCCGCCTTCACCGGTCGATAACCGATCAACGATCAAGCGATCAGTTATCCCCGCTAGATGTCTACCTGGGTCACCTCTCATCCAGCAAACATCACGGAGTAGGGATGAGAGGTCTCCTGTCTTCCTCAATATACAGTTTTCGGCCATTTTTTTTGGTTTCATTTGTGTATCGATCGTAGCAGTGACTTATACGTATTATTTTAATTTTTCTGTGCATCTATTACGTTAATTTTACTCTCATCGTGAATTTATTATTAATTTCCAGTGCAATCATTATTTTTTCACATTTTATTAATAACTGATAAAGACAGTTTTAACTATTAGCCGAAACGGCTCGACCGATTTTCGTGAAATTTTATATGCATATTCAGTAGGTCTGAGAATCGGACAACATCTATTTTTCATTCCCCTAAATGTTAAGGGTGGTCCCTACTTAAACATTTTTTTTGGACCATCATCATACAAAAATACATACAACCCTAAATTTTCACCCTTCTACCACCAACCCCTATTTTTTATGGCGGTACGAAGTTCGCTGGGACAGCTATATAGTAGGTATTTCTATAGATATTCAATATACGGTGACATTGTAATGCTCCATACCTATATAAATAATTATAAAAAAAGTGGCTTCAGACTTTCTCATTTCAGAACCAATACAATATTAAAATAAAAGAACAAGCGCAAGACACAAAAGAACGTGACGTAAGCAGTATTCGAAAATTTAAAAAAATCGAAAATTAAATGGCGTAGAATGAAAACCGAGGTTCCCTAAGCGATACGTGTGGAACTGAATTTTCTTTCATTGAATTTACGTCCTTCAAATTTGTTTGTGTACCTTTTGTAAAATTGTTTTTTTTGTTATATAGTGAAAAGCTCTTCCACTGTTTCCTTTTGTTTATTTGTTGTTAATTTTTCTTTGTATTCTAGATATAAATGCTGATTCATTATATTTACATAGTATTTAATACACCCGTGTGAAGCCGGGCGCTAGTTTGATTATATTGATCTCAGGGCCGAATTAAAGGCAGGGACCTGCCCTGGGGTCTGCTGCGGCCCAGGGGCCTCCACAACAGCTTAAGAAATAACAAAATTTCGTTGGGTCAACAAGCATGCAAATCCTAAGTGGCCCGGGGCCTCTACAATCCTAAATCCGGCCCTGATTCCATCGATAAAACTATCAAGTTCATTTACACTCTGAGTTTTTTAATGCGCAAAGTATTTTAATGTTACATAGCGTAAAGTAAAATTAAGAAATATTTCATTTAATGTGTATTGGACAAGCTCACGATAAGGATTTTAAAAGAAAAACTTTTATTGCATCTCTACAAATGTTTCGTTCATATAAAGCACTAGCGGCCCGCCCTCGCTTCGCTTCGGTGTAGAGCTGAAGTGTAGTCTTATACCTGCATACAAAGTCTCAGCCCGATCGGTTCAAAATTTACAAAGTTCCATACAAACTTTCATTCCCTATTTTATCCCCTTGGGGGTAGAATTGATCAAAATCCTTTATTAGCGGATGCCTACGTCATAACATCTACCTGCATGCCAAAGGAGATTACTCAGCTTCCATACATGTTTGGCCTAAAGACCAATAATCATGATAAATTGTTTCCTAGATTCGAAATTATATATAAATTACTGTAGAAACGAATATTTTTGACGAACACCCCTGAGAACTTCTATAAACCATATACACTGAACATATTAAAATAATAAAAAACAAATAAGTTATATAGTAAACTAGGGAAATCAAGCCAAGTACTGAAATTATGGATTAGATTCAGGTATATAGAGCATGTAGATTAACAGATAGTTGCCTGTTTTTAAAGTTAATGCATAAGAGTAACTTTTAAAATCAGGTGTCAATTCCGGTTATAATAAGGTACTCTGTGACAGAAACTGTGTGATGATTGTGAATGAGCCACAGATTAGAGTGAATTTTTAAACTCTCGTTAACCAAAGAAAGCTAGAAGAGGTTTAGGTTATATAGCCATATATTCAGTAGCTTCATTATTTTTGTTAAGTTTTTAAGATAACCATATTTTAGATTTTTAGTGTATCACACCTTATAATTTTATTTATTTATTAATTTATAGTCAGGGAACGTAGGCCCATAGATAGATAGCTTAAAGTCTAACATATATACAGATTATAATGTGTTTATGGAGGTGTTTGGCGAAAAATGTATGGCAATAGACTTTATGATGTCGCCTACCATCTATAATAATTGTCTGAGCACATTTGCATCTAGTGAAAATGATAATATAGTTGTGGATATTAATACCACAGTGTAATAAAAAAAATGATTTATTTTATCGATCTTTACAAAATAGATTTGTTTTTATGTTATACTAGCGGTCCGCCCTCGCTTCGCTTCGGTGTAGAGCTGAAGTGTAGACTACAGTTTTTGTTCTCAGGCTTGTATTATACACAATGACATTCATCTATGATTCTTCTTATACCTGCATGCAGTCTCAGCCCGATCGGTTTAAAATTGCCAAAGTTTCATACAAACTTTCATTCCCTATTTTATCCCCTTGGGGGTAGAATTGATCAAAATCCTTTCTTAGCGGATGCCTACGTCATAACATCTACCTGCATGTCAAATTTCAGCCCGATCCGTCCAGTGGTTTGGGCTGTGCGTTAATAGATCACTATGTCAGTCACCTTTGACTTTTATATACATATATAGATAAAAACGGTCATTTTTATTACCTGTATTTATAATCAATCAATCAAACTAAAATTCTCATATTTCCGTTTTCCAGTACTCATTTTCTACACGTTTTACATGATTTATTTGCTAATGAGCTCGCTTTCGGACCTTCCGCCTTTTTATACCCTACCGCCGCCGCCTTATTGAATAGGTAATAATGTTAACTTTTTTAAATTAGGGATGAGTGAGAGTATTATAAACGTAAGAGTAAACAAATATAATCAGAATGCTCCGAACTGCTAATGCTAAGCTATATCAACCATAAAAGATAGACATATGCTGTTGCGAGATATTTTTTAGACAATTTTATATAGAATATTTCCGTCATACATGATTTCTATGTAACTTTAACCATTAAGGCGGCACACGCGACGGAAGCTTAAAAATGGAGTAACTTCTCCCGTTTTCCCAACATTTCCCTTCACTACTCTGCTCCTATTGATTGTAGCGTGATCAAAAGTATACTACAACCTGCCCAGGAGTATGAAGAATAATTGTACCAAGTTTCGTTAAAATCCGTCGAGTAGTTTTTGTTTCTATAAGGAACATACACACAGACAGACAGACAGACAAAAATTTTACTGATTGCATTTTTGGCATCAGTATCGATCACTAATCACCCCCTGATAGTTATTTTGAAAATATATTTCATGTACAGAATTGACCTCTCTACAGATTTATTATAAGTATAGATAAACAACTTCGATCGGTCTTTGGCTGAATGTTACTACACCCATAGCCATTAAAAATGATTCGTATGTTTTCCAAACCGGTAAAATTAAAAGTCCTTTTTAAAGAAAAAATATTATACAAAGGTGTCCGTTGAAATCTAATGACTGTAAATTAAATTATAAATTACGCCAAGAATTACCGTGTATGTCAATATTTCTTGTGTATTCAGGCCAATTTGAGCAATCTCCTTTCAGCCCGATCCGTCCAGTGGTTTGGGTTGTGCGTTGATAGATCACTGTCAGTCAGTCAGTCACCTTTGAGGTTTACATATATAGATATCGCATTTAGGTTTACTATCCGTCTGGATTAGTCCGGACATGTCCGTACTTCTAGACTATAGTCCGGACTTTGTCAGGATATTTAAATCGTCCGGATTTTTTAAATTACATTGAATATGAATAATAAAAGTACACATTGATTTAAATACCATACCATTGTATTTAAGTGGGTAATGGTACCATATTGTGATTAAAAAGTCCGGACTTTTTCGATATGTCAGGATTCTTGACAGGACTTTTAAAATTCCTAAATGGTAACCTTAGTCGCATTACATTTTAAATTGTTGCGTCAGTGCAGTCAGTGGTAGAAGCTCGCCTGACACGCGGGCGGGCTCTTCTCTCAGCCGAATAAATACTTTGTTATTTTCATCTTTTTATAAATCAGAGTAACATCAACTATGGGTACAGGCCTGCATTATCTCTTTTATATCTCTTAGATTCTGAGGCAAAGCTGATAGTTAATAGAAGTACCGAATAGCATAGAAGACATAGTCAACATTTTCTCCGGTATACTACAAGGGTCCCAGTGATCAATCGCGTTCACCTAGCGCATTTCGGCCAACGAATGGTACGTTTCTTATCGCTACAATTAGGGTTGCCAGGTCGCGAAACCTAATAGCCGGATAGACCAGCCAGTTTGACCGGAGATTAGGGTGAAAAGGCTGGACACCCTACATAATCAAGGTTATTGTGGCTCACTAAAATAAGGTACGACAAGAATTGTATGTAAAAGCGAACGACAGTCAACTTGCTTGCGCTCGGCCACGCCAGGCGCTTGCTCGTTTGCGAAATGTAGAAAGCCTTACAAAAGCAGGACAAGCCGGACACCGTTTATTTTGGCCGGACACCCATTTAAAAGCCCTTACTATGTTCGGTTTTATCCGGACGGAAGGATCTTGACAGACAGATGGACTGACAGACGAACGGACAGACAGACAACAAAATGATTCTATGTTCAGTTTTTTTCAATTTGACTTACCGCCAGCAAGATGGCCAACCACGCCCGGATATCCGGCGCAGGTGAAGTTGCCGTAATCCTCGTAGATGCCGAACTTCAGTCCTTTACTGTGGACCTGGAAACAAACAAACAAAAACCGGGTGAATTTACTGATCAACGTTAGAGGTAAGTTACACAAATATGATATTCTGTCCAATTTTTCCAAATTGATTCCATCTTAAAAAATAATGAGCCAAAAATTTAAAAGTTATGGGGACGAATCCAATCAACATCAAGCTATGTTACGTTGTGCTATTCTTTGTATTTTTTTATAGATAGGTCCGACAAATGACTCCACCCCACCTGATGTTACGGTGAAGTCCAGCAGTAAAGATAGCTGATACTGCAGCCATCCTCACCTAGCCGGGCTGCAAGTTGCTTCTTCACGCCTCTTTTAAAAGATCCCAGGTTGTAAGAAGGAGGGAACACGTGAGCAGGCAGAGCATTCCATTTACAGATAGTGGGACAAAGAAATGAGTCACCAAATTTCTTTGCACGTGTTGGAATTGTAGCCACAGTTAGACGGTGACAGCGAAGGCCAGCCCACGTATTTCAGGGTTCTTAAAGGAGTCCGTATCCATTATGTATGCTGTAGCTCAGTGACCTCTTACATGTAAATATGATCAGTATGTATTAGACTTCAATAAGATTTTAAGTTCAAAACACAAATTACAGAAACTCAATTGCCCCCCACGACAAAAGCTAACTAGAGCCGAGGTCCGAGTCTTTTAGATGCCCTCTAGTTGAGCCGACCCCCTCAGGATCGAGTGTTCTAGAGGCTCCAGACGGAGAGGAGACTCCTCCCGTGGGGAGATGCCAGCCGCCTGAATTTCCTCTAGAAGCACTCGCCAATTATTCTCGGCTTGTGGTCTATTTAGGATCTCGCCATCACCAAACCCGGTGACGCTGTAAATGTCATCTGCGACCAACAGCATGCATTTGAAATCATAAACAAAAAAGTCAGTTAAACCATCATATAACCAAAATAGATTGAGAAATAAGATATAAGTGTATTTTATAGTTATCAAGACATTCCTTTACAATACTCTGTTATTAAAAAGAAGAAATCAGCAATGATTTGTTGGATATTTTTCTACTACAAAAAATTCGACATTTTTTTTATATTATTTTTAATCTCGCCGCAATTCGTTCATTGTTAGATAATCTGTTTCATTGTTACAAAACGTAGTGGAGGAAAAAAATAAACCGCAATCTCATGTCATTAACGTGATGTTATTAAGAGCGGCTGGCTCTGAGGTATCAAGGTTAGGACTGGCAACAATATGATACTTTATCTCGTAATCTATCAGTATTTCTTAATATCTTTTGTCCCTAGACGATGTCGTAATCTAAATATATATAATAGCCCACTTATACGTACCTATAGAAACTTAGGTAATAATAATATAGGGAATACAAGTCTGCGTGCAAAAAAAAAACTGCCATGCATTAACTCTGACCTCGACTCCTTTTTTGACCGTCGGGAAAATATATGAAAAAGCAAAATAGCTTATATGCTACTTTGCCGCTGCTTAAACATTGTAGATTGCAGCCGAGATGCAGCCAGGGAGGTCGTATTAGTAAGGTTTTTTTATCGAGTGGATGCAAATTACAACAGGAGCCGCCGCAGGAAGTAGTTATCGTCCTATTAGCGAGGTTTCGCAAGTTCGGCTCCCACGAGATGCTGCAACCGCTACTCGCTTTCTAGGCTCCAGCAGATTTGTTTTAAAATGAGGATTTATAAAAAAGCTTTTTGTCAAGTTTTCTACACGTGCAGCTTATAGGCCAAATATAGGCAGCGGGCCATCAGCGATTTACGGGTCTATTACAACAATGGATTCAAAAGTTTTATTTGGGCCGGCTCGTTATTGTAGTGCACAGACACATACCGATTTGGACGCCCTTTTAAGAAAAAGAGCAGCCTCAATGCTATACATAGTGCGGGTTAGTACGAACTCCATTCTGAAGACCATAGATACAGGATATGATTCACACATTATAAATAAATGGATGCAACTCTGTGTCACAGGCAGGCAGATTGTGGCCAAACAGTAATTTTCATTTTTTATGTCTTGGTTGTGATTTTATTTTCAATATTTACTAACCACGATTACTAACATAATATAAATGTGAAAATCTTACTAACGCTTTATGGACCACATAGTTGTTTAAGTAAATAAATAAAATATTATTATTATAAACTTATTAGCCGATCAACCGTCTTTACCGGCAGTTGTCCTACCGCCGGCGAGGAAGCGACTAACTATCAGCTATTTTATCGCTCAAGAAACGTACAATAGATATACCTACATTCCGTGTTAACAAAAGATACGCATGTTAACTGTTCACTGATTTCGTTGAAAAAAAAAGAAACATATCTTAGGTTTAAGAACTTTATTTTCTCATAAGAATAGTTACATTCACTTATATGAGCATTTATACTAAATAATATTGATGGTTTGGGCTAATTGTCATTCAAAGTATCATGCACAACTAAAAATGTATGTGGGTAGTTGTCACACACATTGTTCGAATGTTGGCTTCCCTTCGTGTTAGTCCGCGACCCGTCGCCTGCGCACGGCAAGTACACATATACTACATGGAATTGACGAATACTGGCTGTGGCTCACTAGTACAGTGGTCTCAGAGACGCCCTCTAGTTGAGCCGACCCCCTTAGGTTCGAGTGGTCTAGAGGCTCCAGACGGAGAGGAGACTTCCCCCGTGAGTAGATGACATCCGCCTAGAATACCTTTAGGGGCACTCGCCAATTCTCGGCTTGAGGTCCCCTTAGGATCTAGCCGGCCCCAAATCCGGTGAATGACGGTGTAAAGGTCATCTGCGACCAACAGCGCATACACTTAATAAAAAAAAATCAGTAACTGAACGATTAGTAATTTTATTATATGGATGCATCATAATATTAGTTACGTATAACGATCGTATTCCAAGAAGTAAGCATTGCGTTACCGACGATGAACCGGTTTAATACCTATCCACAGGAAACCATACATAAACTTCTTGTCTGGGTACAGTGGGTATCCTAGACATAAAGATTAATTACGCCAACAGTTCTTGCACGCATCGATCTAATCCCAGACTGCATGTAGTCTGTCCATATGGAATCTGAACCAATATGTTGCGAAACTGATTAAATGAAGGCTATTGCAAAGCGTTTAATATATTGTTTTGGGCCTCATAAGAAGACTCTGAGCCTTCTTCATAAGAAGACGCACAGCGAGCGATGGAGAGAGCTATGCTCTCGCTGTTTTTTTACGTGATCAAATCAGGATCTGACAAACAATCTGGTACTTTAAGAGAGGCGTGAAGAAGCATTTTTGAAGGCCGGCAAAGTGAGGATGGTTGGTGTAGCAGTTTATAACTGCTGTACTAGCTATCTGCGCATTTGGACTTAATCACCACTTAACATCAGGCAGGGTAGAGTTATTTGCCTACCTCTACCATCCTTAGAAGAACTAGAACAACCGATATAACTCAACGGATCGCCAAGCTGAAGTGGCAATGGGCGGGGCACATAGTTTGGAGAACCGATGGATGTTGGAGTCCCAAGGTGGTTCAATGGGGACCTGGAAGCGCAATGTCGGTAGAGCTCTAACCGGGAGAACACCTGAATTTTAACATAAGACAAAAGCTATCTATTTGCGAAGTTGCATGGTGTTAAGAAAACTTAATTTGCATTTTTTTACTTAACTTATAAAGCATATTATTGCATTGATAAACAAGTTATAACATATAACTTGTTAAGCAATGCAATATCATTATAAACCATACGCCCAAAAGGTCCTTGTGGTCTCAACTTAGCTTTACATTTATCATGGATTTCAATTGAATAATTAAGCGTTGTAATAAGTATGAACATGACAGTGATTCATTCACCATTACCACAAATATGGTAGTCATATCGACCAAAACGTAATAATTGTGTGTTGTAAGCAATATTTAAAAGAACAAAGACATGTTCTTACCATACCAACCCACGTAGATTTTGAACTGAACTAATAGCTTTCTGATCCCACACGATGTCCTACACAACCCACTTAAAAGTTGTACAAAAAAACCTTAAAAAAATATTTAATGTTAAGTATTTAATAAGTTCTGCAACAGATTAAAAATTCGTAAGTCTCATAATGGCATTTGTTGTACGCGTAGACAGAGAGTTGAACGTTATAATATACTTCGGGACACATCTATCGGCTCACCTAGCTTCACCGCCTTCCTTCAGGTTCACCGCTTAATTGAGTCTTCGCCTGCGGGGTACAGGGTGTGGGGGACAGCAATAACAAAATAATATCGTAAACGATAGCGATAGCCATAGCAATCCGGTTAGGCAATTGGCCCTCAGTGCTTAGATCTTGAGCGTAGGTTATAATGGTGTCGATTCTGGCTTGATTCTCTAAACCTAAACTTAAATTTGACAACAGTGTATCCTTGTAATTATCTATACAGAATGAAAAAAAAGACTGATATTAAATTATGTAAATAATGGTAATCCCGCCTCTATTATTGTAACACGCATTATGTTAGTAATTTTTTTTTTCATTTTCAAAATTAGTTTTAAGTTTAGCGAATCATGCCAGTATCGACACCAATTAATTAGTAAGATTAGTTACTAAAACTGCTTAAAATACTTAATAAAGAGATTCATTTAATCTTCTCTAGAAATGGATTGAACACTTTCCTCCGAAAAACAAATCTTTTAACCCGTGCACGTACACAAAGGTCACACATGAACAAGTGAACCAGTAACCTCATTTGGCGTAGTTCAAGACAAGACGTGTTGGCGTGGGAACGAGCGATCCTTACGATGAAGGTCGAAAGATTGCTCGCAGATAAAACGCTTGTAACAGGAACAGGGCTGCCAGACCGTATAAGTTTAAAACATTTTTTTAATCGGACTGAATCTAATTAAAGCTCGATGGCGCAGGTGGTTATTCATTTGGCCTTTTTTTTTAACGCAGGCAAAACCTCTGTTTACAGACGACGGCGCCTTTAAGAAGCACAACGCTGAACGGACCTCACACCTGGCTCCCGCAAGTCTTACGGACCCCCCAGTGGCT